GAATGATTCGCGCGAACATAGACGCATTTATGTAGATCGGGGGCACATTCCCTTCAGAAACAATGTAGTCCACTGCGAGTTCAGCGGCTCAGATGTCGGGAGTAAATGACAACTGCTATGTTCATTATTACATCCAACAACAGAACACCTCAATCGCTTAGGAGTCATTCTTGTCTACATCTGTTCTGGCGGTGAAACAATGGCGGACTGATGACAGCTCACTCAGGGCGTGTCTAAGGTAAGACACCACTCCAGTCTGTGCTGAAACGCTACTGTCAATCAAACTATCGTGGGAGGGGCCTGTCTGTGTGACGTCACACAGACAGGCATCTGAGATCGGCTCGATTTGAGAAAGGGGTAAAGATTTTAGTAGATTAACAAAAAAACACTGGGTGGATTTTTATCATTATAGGGTGGTTGTGTACACACACTGCCAACACACATTTCAGTTCAAACAACTTGTAAAAGTGCATGTAGCATTATATGACCCCTTTAACTAAAACTAAGATTAAAGGGATAGTTCACCCAAAAATGAAAATTCTGTCATGATTTACTCACCCTCAAGTTGTTACAAACCTGTCTGAGCTGACGGCAGCCATTGACTTCTATAGTATAGAAAAAAAGATACTATGGAAGTCAGTGGCTACCTTTAACTGTTTGGTTACCAGCTAGGGCTGCAGTGCAAATAATCGAACGCGATGATCATGCGCATCTCGTCAGTAAAGCCGGTTCTGTGATTAGTAGGGCTGGGCAATATATTTAAAAAAAATTATATCTTGATAGTCACATTTTTTACGATATTCGAGATATATCTCGATATGTTTGCATATTCTTTTAAATAATAAAAAAAACATGAATTTATTTTGCCCCCATTAAAAAAACAACAAAAACTATTTAGATAGAAGTTATTGTTACAAAGTAAATACAATATATATAAATTAATACCAAAGACTTATGCACTCGCACTGTCTATATTATGAAAACTGGTAAAACAAATGAAAAATATTATATCAGTGAAATTCCTAATAGTAATTCCAAACTGCCATAGCCTATGTTTCTCTATTCAAACAACAGCGGTTGAGTAAGTGCATTTATTCAGCGATCACAATCGCAAACAATACAGTCGAGATCTCATGACAGAACACAGACTGGTTGAGTGACACTTTCATTTAGATCGCTAAACTCCAGCTTGTTTGTTGGCGTTTTCAGATCATCAGCAGCGGCGCTTCCGCAATGAGGAGTGAGCGCGTGCGAATGGTCGCCAGATTGCTTAAAATAAGCAAACACTGGGCAGAAAATGTATGCTTGTACAGCGAAGCTCTGATTCGGGGATTAGAACTCTTGATATCTGGCAACCGCACTCATGAAAGCTCACGTAGTAGAGGCGTGTAGAGCAGTCCGCAATAACATGTTGTCTCCTTATCTGGATGTTCGGCGCATTATTTTGGGAAAGTATGCTTGAATTTGAAATATTCGATATTCACAATATTTTCAAATTTTACATCGTCGTCAAAATTATTGCGATATTATCGCTACTATTCGACATATCACCCAGCCGTGATTAGCAGTAAATCTCAATCAGGTACGTTCAGATGCGACCCTCAGGAGCGGCATTTACTACAAAGATCCGTAGTTCACTGACAAGCTACGCAATATCGCGTTCATTGATGCAGTAATTATATATTATATATTGATGCGTTCATTGCACTGCAGCCCTATTACCAACATTCTTCAAAATCTCATTGGAAGAAATTAAGAAATTGATACAAATTTGGAACAACCTGAGGGTGAATAAATCATGACAGAATTTTTTTATTTTGGGGTGAACTATCCCTTTAAAACAAAAACACAAAAAACGAATTTGTTACTTGAAATAAAATAAACATTAACAGTAATAAAAGAAAATATAAAAATCTATCTATATATATATATACATATAAATAAATCTTGTTTTATTTCAGCTAGATGCCAAGATGATATCTTTTCTCATTTTCTTTTAGTTTAACTTGATGTACTAAAGTAACAATAAATAAATAATAAAACAAAAAGCAGAAACAACAAATTACTAAAACTTGAACTAAAATTAAAATATGAAAACATTTAAAATATCAATAAAAACTAAAACAGTAATATCAATAATTCTACAATAACTCTGGTCTTACACACTTCTACCAGCCTCATTTTTACGTCATCCTAAATTCAGATAACGTTTTTATGCAACACTAGTATAGGCTATCTGGTTAAATTCACAGGGACAAAAAGTTCACAGGCATCTTTACAAACCAAATATATTCAGATTATATACAGTAATGCAATACATTACATATATTTCCTCTCTTTGTGGCAAGCATGTCAATTTGTACCATAAAAATTATTTGTGGGGCCCTGGGGCCCCTTCCCAAATTCCACACACAGGGCCCTGCTTTTGTAACATCTAAAATATACTTCGAAAATTAACCCTTTGTCCTTGCTTCTAAAAGCTTTGAGTCCACACATCAACCCAAATTCTGAAATGTGCCAGAATGCAATTTATAATACAACACAAGTATCTAATAAATTCACAGAGCCAAAAAGTTTTAAAGTGGGCCCCGCCCCCAATGGCACCTTCACACACCTAATGTATTCATACTGTAATACCATGCATTAATTACCTTTCACCTCTTCATGGCAAGCATGTCACTTTGTAGCAAAAAAGATGGTTTGTGGCCCATTTGTCGAAGTGTTCTGCGTGTCTAACATTTAAACCATATTTTAAAATGAAAACTTTGTCCTTGCTGACTATTTCTATTTTCATAAAACACAATAGATTAAGCCATCCGGGTCTCTCATACATACTATTTCTCAGCTTTAGGACGCACTGATCATCTGAGTACGGATAGTATGCGAACTACACTAGTTTGCGAAACGTCCCACTAGATCACTTGTTAAAGTCTTAAACATTAAATCACACTACATCAATACAGATCAGGGTGATCTTAAGGTAAACTTTAACTAGTTATTTAATAAACTAGTTTTATAGATTCGCTAACAAAATAACCACAGGCTCAATGACCATAACATGTTGCTAATGTTGCTAATTACAGCACAACAACAACAACATATATAACACTGACAATATTTACCAAGCAGAGCGACCGGTTTGCATGCTGAATTTCTTCGTAGGTCATCAAAAACTAGATTTTGGTGCGATTTCAAATGATTACAAAAAAAAACCCCCCGTTAAATTTGAGATAGAATTTGAGCAGAATCTAGTGCTGTTGCAAACACAGCCGCCAACGTGAAGCACCGCCCACTCTGCTCGTTTTGCTCTTTGATTGGACAACAGCTTTCAGCGTTTGAACGTCTCCGACTCATTTCCGCGAATCGGTTCCTTTGAACCGTTCATTTCAAAGAACGTGCAGAGGCCGGCTGCGTAAATTGTTTAGACTCTTAACTAATCTAGCAACCCTGTTGTTAATTTTTAAAATTAATATTTCCGTAATGTATGAAGTTAGAAGGTTCATTGTAGAATTTACAGAATGATATGACAGATAATTTATTTTTATGAAAAAAAATAACATAGGGATAATTATTTTGAAAACGAGTCAGACTCGAATCAAATCGAGAAATCTGTATCAATACCCAGCCCTAGGAAACAAAAGTAAATCTTGCCATTTTGTTGTACGCCTCAGCTATTATAGCCGCTAAAGTTTTGCATAAGAAAAAAAAAATGTTGCATGTGGTCTTTAAAAAAAAACAAAATAAATAAATACAAATATCAGCGCACCTGAGAAAAGTCAATGGAAAGACCCACTGCAATAGAAAAACAATGTTGTAAAAGTGTACAGTACAGTATGTGTTTCAATACATCTGACGTCACAGATGTCCAATTATAAAACGAACCGTTTTGCTTACATGAATGCTTCGTTGCAGGAGGTACAAAGACCTCCTGTTATGTCAAAAGATTATAGCACGTTTCTCATGTTTTGTTTTCTCATGAATTCTCAACCAGTCGCGTTCAACCATTATGACGTCATGGAATTTGGAATCCCTGGCCGCGCAGATTCACACAGAGTTATGGGAAGCCACATACACCAAAAGTGGGACGAAACGGCGCGGTATTAAAGTGTTCGCCCCGCGCTGACCTGTCATCGGCGCTGCTCAATGGACCGAGCGGCGCGACCGACTCGACAGCGGAGAGAGGACGTGTTTACTAGCGCCACCGAACTGACAGCGCGGCGCTGATCAGTTACAACAGCGCAGCGCGAACATTAGGCTACTCTCCGCAGAAGTTCGTGTTTTTTTTCCTGCACATAACATAATGAAGATCAGTATTAAGTTATTACATTTCTTTTGCTTACCTTTCTACTACATGTAAACAGTTGTACTTTGAAAAACTGCACATATAAAATATATAAGACTTTACAATACCATAGTCCTCTTCAGGAGCACACCCAGCTTCTAGTATATATATATTTTTCATTTTGTACTTAGTTATTGTTGTTGTCGTCAAGTTCTACATTCAGCACAATATTGCCCATTTTAAATTTGAACTATTTTTAAATAGCCTAGTATATATATGGGATTTTTGTTGTCTCTAGTAAAGGGAACGTTGTTATTTAACGTTAACATTGCAATTTTATATAACGGATACGGTTTGTAAAGCTTTTCTCTACACTCCAAATTAAATAAATAAATAAATTTTAATTAATTAAAAAAACTTTAAAAATTAGGGACAGTGTATGTAAATTCAATATGATGTATTTTGAATTTTGCACTGCATTGTGTTTTAGGTTTATCGGAAAGTTATTACATTTCTTTTGCTTACCTTTCTACTACATGTAAACAGTTGTACTTTGAAAAACTGCAAATATAAAATATATAAGACTTTAATAAATTTACAATACCATAGTCCTCTTGAGGAGCACACCCAGCTTCTAGTATATATATTTTTTTATTTTGTACTTAGTTATTATTGTTGTTGTCGTTGTCATGTTCTACATTCAGCACAATATTGCCCATTTTAAATTTGAACTATTATTAAATAGCCTAGTATATATATGGGATTTTTGTTGTCTCTAGTAAAGGGAACGTTGTTATTTAACGTTAACATTGCAATTTTATATAACGGATACGGTTTGTAAAGCTTTTCTCTACACTCCAAATTAAATAAATAAATAAATTTTAATTAATTAAAAAAAACTTTAAAAATTAGGGACAGTGTATGTAAATAAAATATGATGTATTTTGAATTTTGCACTGCATTGTGTTTTAGGTTTATCGGAAAACACATTAAAATTAACCATGATTTTATTACACTAACCTTTTAACCATACATTTGTAGTTAAACTGTGGGTTAAAAAAAATGACAATCAATCCATGGTTACTGCACTTTTACTATAGTAAAACCATTGTTAATTTCCGTATTTCCATAAGGGAAAATGTATGTCCTGACAGAAAAGTATAAGTACATTTTACTCTTTTTTTTCAAGTATAATCATATGCTACAGTTACACAAATATCCTTAAATGTAAAATTTACTTAAATATGCCTTGATGAACGAAACCATAGTTATTACATTTCTTTTGCTTACCTTTCTACTACATGTAAACAGTTGTACTTTGAAAAACTGCAAATATAAAATATATAAGACTTTAATAAATTTACAATACCATAGTCCTCTTGAGGAGCACACCCAGCTTCTAGTATATATATTTTTTTATTTTGTACTTAGTTATTATTGTTGTTGTTGTTGTTGTCAAGTTCTACATTCAGCACAATATTGCCCATTTTAAATTTGAACTATTATTAAATAGCCTAGTATATATATGGGATTTTTGTTGTCTCTAGTAAAGGGAACATTGTTATTTAACTTTAACATTGCAATTTTATATAATGGATACGGTTTGTAAGGCTTTTCTCTACACTCCAAATTAAATAAATAAATAAATTGTAATTAATTAAAAAAACGATTTAAAAATTAGGGACAGTGTATGTAAATTCAATATGATGTATTTTGAATTTTGCACTGCATTGTGTTTTAGGTTTATCGGAAAACACATTAAAATTAACCATGATTTTATTACACTAACCTTTTAACCATATATTTGTAGTTAAACTGTGGGTTAAAAAATGACAATCAATCCATGGTTACTGCACTTTTACTATAGTAAAACCATTGTTAATTTCCGTATTTCCATAAGGGAAAATGTATGTCCTGACAGAAAAGTATCAGTACATTTTACTCTTTTTTTCAGGTATAATCATATGCTACAGTTACACAAATATCCTTAAATGTAAAATTTACTTAAAATATGCCTTGATGAACGAAACCATAAAACATTTTAATTCTAAGAGGATAATGGAAGTTTCTGCTGTGAACGTGACTACTAAATATAGGCTATACGTGCTTCAAAGTAGCTAACACTACTGTTTACATGTAGTAATATGAAAGATAATAAGCAAAAGAAATGTAATAACTCTTCATTATGTTATGTGCAGGAAAAAAACACAGACTTCTGCAGAGAGTAGCCTAATGTTCGCGCTGCGCTGTTGTAACTGATCAGCGCCGCACTGTCAGCTCGGTGGCGCTAGTAAACACGTCCTCTCTGCGCTGTCGAGTCGCTGTCGCGAACACTTTAATACCGCGCTGTTTCGTCCCACTTTTGGTGTTTTGGTTTCCCATACAGAGTCAGTTCAGAAATGAAGCAACTTGAGGAAAGTGTGAAATAACATCTCTGCAAGACTTCTGCAAGCAAGAAAGCAGACACCACGACAGGAGACAGAAGAGTCGCCAACAAGTAAGATTTTAAATGAAAGCAAACAAAATGTGTATACTTTAGTTAAACTATACGTTTCAAACATTGTTACAAGCATAAGTTGCCAGATAAGTTGCGTTATTTTCAAAGTCAACCCTTTGTAAATCACATTTACATTTATACACACACATGGCTGTAATCAGGGTTTAAAAATTAGTAAGGTCTGGGGTGTGGTGTTCAGAACTGTGCTATAATAACACCTAAAAATGCAACTCATATACAGTACAGTAGGCCTACATATAACATTTAAAAGACTGACATGTAGATGTTTGTGAACAATGTTTACAATTTACAAAGACATGTTACAAACTATTTAGATGCTATTTGCTGTAGTGTGTATGTGTAGTGTAGTGTTTATGATGGCGATGATGCAGTTTCCTACAGATAGCCTACTATCATTATGATCATTGCATTTGTCTCACCAAATGTGGAATCCTGTCAGCAATTATCCGCATGCGCTAGCTATGGGGCCTTTTTTCATTTTCACACCATGGACACTAAACAATAAACTGTCTAAACTTAATTACACATGCAAACACTAGTTTTAAAAAGCTAATTAGTCATTTAATTAGTAATTAATTAAATGCAAGTACTTATTAATTAGTAATTCTCTTCCATTTTTACTTGACCCTCTAACTATGGAGGCAGAATGATCTCAATAATAATT